GTGCACACTTTTACACTATGGATATGGTTCCAGTCATAATATTTTCTTTTGCCAATGCGGTGATTGAAAATAGTAAAATAATTATCAATTCTAATTTTGCTGTTTTCTAATATGGTTTTGTCGATTATTTAAGTTAAAAAAATGCACTCATTGCTCCCTGAAAGTACTTTACATTAGTTTGCATTCCAATTATTTGCAAAGTTATAGCAGTTTCCGTGAAAGGTGATGTGGATAGACAAATGATTTTAAATTTTCAAATGCGTTGTCTCAAAATAAGATTTTTTCACATTTTTCATCACCTTGGACACTGTATTTCAGATTCTTTTTAAAAAAATTGTCTATAATTTTTCATGTGTATTTATGATTATAGCACACATGCTTTGAACTACAGATTAAGGAAGTAGAATTTCATTTTCTATGCATGTTTTTTATGAAGACAAGTACGAATATTTTTAAAAATTTGCTTTTTTAACAACATTAAGTCAGTAGTATATGCACTTACATTTAAGATAATAGCTCAAAACATAGTTGATAGCCATCTAAGTACACTTCTTAATGGAGATTTGGTTTAATCTCATCTGACATAAGAAAGCAAAACTAAACAATTATTAAAAAATTGAATTAAATTCTCAGTAAAATTAATTTTTGATTAAATAAAGCTATAAGCTAGCAGAGATTATGGGTTTTATCTCTTAAATAATTGAATTCAAAATAATCGTCAACAGTTTAATTTGCAATGTAGCGTATTTATAACCCTGTTTTTCATATAAGTAATTAAAGGTGAGATTTTAAATCAAGCCTTGTAAGTTTATAAGTATAAAGCATTCTTGAAAATAATAATTGAGGTTCAGCAAGGCGGGCGTACGAAAATTTAGTCTCCCCAATTTCGTGACTGGCACGGCTATGATTATGCGTTCTTCAATAAGCGCAAACTGCCTCTAACGCCCAGAAAAGCTGGTATCTATCGTTGCGATACAACAGAATTAGTAAAAAAAAGATAGTAATAACTATGATAATAGACAAGCGAATTATGCAGTTCCTACATAATTTCTAAGTTATTTGAATTAGCACATTATTTAGGAATTGCTGAGAATGTGACTGCAGATGCTTTGGCGAAATACTCGGGAAACCTCAAAAATGATGAATTATCTTGTGTGGTAACACTTAATGATATTAATGAAGTGGCTAAGTCAAGATTAAAGGACAAGAAAGTGATATTTAAACATCAAATATGAGTACTAGACGCAATTAGGACCTTGGAGAACACCTGTTGCGTAATGAATTTGTAATGACGTCATCGTTCATAATCCGTAATATTTTATTCATTANCTAAGTTTCATTCTGACAACCTTTTTTAATGCGCTAATTTTTATTACATTGAGTGTACTTTTTTATGTCAAAAGTTTTTGTTCAGGTTTTTTTTAAATTTTACTTTTTATCTATTTCTTTCCATTTTGGAATATCCACCATTCTTTAATCCATTTGGGAAATAAGGAAGGAAATAAATTTAGCTCTTTTTTTTGAAGCTACGTTAGAGATTAAGTAGGCAGATAAGACTCGAATTTTTTAATTATTATTTAAAATATGAATTTGTCTTATTTATAATTTAATAAATTGATATTTTTTTAGTTTATTAATATTCTACAAAACATTTAGATGTTGTTCATAAATGAATTTGATAAGTTATTATTTAATGTATTGTTAAATATAATTTTAAATTGAAATTTTTTAAAAATGAAGTTAATACTTTCGATTTAATTTAAATTTGCATTTGATTTAATTAAAAAATTAAATTAAATGTAAATTAAAATGAAATTTAATTGAATGTAACTAAATTTAAAATTTAAGATAATGACATTTCTAGGCAATCTATTTTATCTTTCGTGTCAAATATATAATTTTATAAAAAAAATATGGAATATATTTGAAAATGATAAAGATTGTTTCTCATAAAATTAGATGAAACAACAAAATGGTGTAAGGAAAATGTTACAGAAAAAAGTTTTGAAATCTGCTAGTGTAATATTTTTAATAAAACTAACCTTGAAATGATCTAGGTCTGCAATAATATCTGAACTTGCATTTGATATTCTTTTAAAATTAAATTTTATTCAAAATATTTGCTTTATTTGATTAATTTATGTAAATGTCTTTTTTTGAAGCATTTTGCGAAACATTATGATAAATTGAATTCAACATTTAGCTAATGCTTAATTTTGTATTTAATTTGCGAGATGCAAGTCTTAGACCAACAAACCATTTGTAGAATGATACCAAGAACAAATGATGTATCTTGTTTAAAAGAGTTAGAAGACTTGGGAATCCAGATAACTGACCGTGGTAAAGGTAGACCTCCTATTGTGCTTCTAAATGGAGCAGATATTGCAGGCAAATTGTATACAGACCAAACGCAAATTTTAAAATGTGGTCTTGTTGCTGTGCAGACGCACTTAGGTTGGACTATCACGGGAAGGTCTGAAAATCATAATTGCAAAGACAACATTATAACATCGCTATTTTTTCAAAGCCATAGTATAGAAAATCTTCGGAAACTGGAAGCGATAGGAATTGGAGATCCTTGTGAAAGTATAAGCACAGAGTTATTGGAAAAAGTGGTCTATGATCATTTTGAAGAGACTCTTAAGATTACAAAAGATGGGCGCTATGTAATTAGTTTTCCTTGGATGCAAAGTCCCGACGAATTACCAAATAACCGCGAACTTGCAGAAGAACGATTATTGTCCACTTCTTGGAAACTCAGTAAAGCGGGAAAGATAAAAGATTATAATGCTGTATTCCAAGAATGGTTGCAATGCGGAATAATAGAAGAATGTTCAGAAGGGCCAGTCACTATTTGCCACATCATGCTGTGTTCAAACCAACTTCCACTACCACACCTGTTAGACCCGTTTTTGACGCCTCGTGTAAGTCGAAGGGAAAAATGTCATTAAATGACTGCTTAATGAAAGGTCCAAATTTGCTCGAAGACATCCCAACTGCTCTTCTTAGATTCAGACAGAAAAAAATTGGAGTTGGTGCTGACATTAATGGCTATATCACACGAGAGAAAATAAGTGCAACTGTAAGTGTAACTGTAAGTGCAACTGTAAGTGTAATTTCTCCAAACATTGCTCGAAAAATCCTCGTGTGATATAGAAATCACGGTTGCACGAAATATCTGCAACCGTCCAGGCAATTTCTTTCATGAACCAATCAGATCGTTTGCTTTTTATGACGTTTCATTTCATTTAAATTTGTAAACAAAATATGGCGACTAACAGAGAATTTGAATGGAATAATGACATGACGGAATTTTTTATTAATGAAATCAAATGCAAAGATCATTCATGGAACATTAAATCGTCTTTTGTAACTATTGTCAGACTGTAACAGTTATTGAAAACTGTTAGGTTACAGTTTTCCATTTTTTACTAGAGCTCTCAGCACTAATTATAAAAATGATGCAAAATGCTAATAAGAATTAATAGGTTTTGAGGAAAAGAATAGCGTTTGGGATTTAATTTCAATGCTTAATAAAAACTCAAAATAATATTTTTCTATCTTATTTTCATACTCTAAACGTTACTCACAAAAAGATGCAAAAATTGAGAAATATTCATTATTTTTTATCATTAGCAAGAGCATCAAAGCTATCGCCAAATTTATGATTTTTTAAAACCATAAAGTCAGTTTATTCTTTAAATATTGCAGCTATTTGCTCGCTTTATAATCAAGATTATTCTTTTTATCAAGTTTGTATGTATAGTTAAAAAAAATTAAGGTATTGTTTTGAGTTTAAGTTTTTTTATATTGTGGATTATATTATTAGATATATTTACGAACTAACAAATTTCCAGCTTATTGTTATTTGTTCGCAACAAATTTCTGATTGCTTTTGATAGAAGCCAGTTTGATATAGTTAATACTTTCTTCTAACCAGAAGCTTTCTTACAAAATAATTACCAAGAAACTTGCCAAATTTTCTTGCAAGGTAATGTAAGCTACATGTAAAATTTAAACCTTTCTTTTTATTTTTCTTCTTTTAGATAATTTTTACGCACTTCTTAACTTCGCCAGCGCAAACGATAATGTCGCCAATAAATAAAACAGTAAGCTCAGCTGTTTTATTTTACTTGAATAAATAAATAGATAATAAAATGAACTTGAAATAAACAAACAAATAAAAATAGCTGAATTTATTTACTCCTTCAAAAGGAAAAAAAATGGATAAGAACCTTTTTTATTTCTATTGATTCCGGTAACAGAAACATTAACGCAGCATCGGGCGCTATAGATATCACACCATATGCAGGCCATTTTTTGTTATTTCTAAATATAATAAACTACCTGCGCGACATTATTCATTTTCCCCCATTTTTAAAGAAAATTATAAAATAAAATACAGATCAAGTAAAAGAGTAAACTTTTTTTCTTTCTTTTCTATCCTCATCGATGGTGTTAAAAGGAATGATTTCTCCCTCTATTGAAATCTAACACCCAAAACAAATGAGGCAGGTGCAACACACGTCTAATGCTACAAAGAAATTAGAATGTGGTTTTATCTGGAGGGCTATATTTTTAAAAACATTTGTTGCATAAATTAAGAATATAATATCAGATTTTTTTTATCAACTTGGTTGCTTCTATGATTTAATTAAAGTTGTACTTAATTTTTCCTTTAAACACTATTATATAAATAACAAATCTAATTTAAATATACATTTGTTGTGTATTCAAATTTTGCTATAAATTTATATAAGCATAATTTTTATAATATTAGCGACTCTACTAGATCGCATTTTGATTTATAAAGGTGGTGCTGCAGATTGGATTTGTTAATTATGCAAACGTGTTTGATAATTTAAAAAAAAAATATAAGCAAATAAAGAAAATGTTTTTTATATCTTTTTTAAGAAATGTATTTTGTAAAAACAATTGCTTATATATTCATAGACATGTAATATTAATAGTTTGATAATTTTTCTGAGTATATGGTTTGATTATTAATAGTTTCAATACAATTATTTGATTCATTATTTTTCGTTTTTAACTGTACCCTTTCTGTGTAATTTTAGAAACGTTAATGAAGAAATTCAGATCCTTAAGGATAATTTACAAGGCAAATCGACAAAAATTGGACAAATTGAAGAGTGGTAGTGGCTGTGAGGGTTATATAGTCCCGTGGATGTACTTCAAAAGCTTAGAATTTTTAAAGGATTCAGACGAGTGTTTCATTAGCAAGACTAATTTAGATGATAGAATGGTATGTAGTCTATGCATATTGTGGATAGTTGACCAATCTTAAATATCATTATTTAAGAATTTATATTTGCTCCGTACTTTAATAATCTGTATCTGGTTTGTTGAGTCTGCAATCAGCTTTTCTAAATTAAGTGCATAAAAATGCATAACAATGATTTTCACTCAGTTATAAATTAAATTTAACTTTATTTCTCGTCACTTCAAAAAATATCATGTTTTTTTTATTTCGAATTAAACAAATTTATTACAAATAAAAGAATATTAGTTAATGTTTTACATTTCTTGTAGTTAATAAAAATTAAGAAATTAAATTTTTCCTTCCACTGACCTAATGAGTAGTTAATGAATTGAGTAAAAAAATTTCGATTTTTTTTAATGTATAGTTTTTTGTGTTCAAGATCTGTTATACATTATCTGACCTCTACGTAGTTAAGTAAACATTTTGTTATTTTTGTAGGCCACGAATGCTGAAGTACATGAAGGCACTTCAGTAATAAATGATTCAGAAGATATGAACAGTAATATGAGTGTGCGTATGAAAGAAGTGGTACAAGAAGAGCACTCATTTATTTCAGATCGCCAGTATTCAGATATTTCTAGTACACCTTCTTCACCAAATGATAATGCGGATGATCCTGACGATTCTGCCGTCAAAAAACTGCCAATCTCTGCATCTACTACCACAAACCCATCTTCTGCACCTAATTTAGTTTATGGGACTGGAACTGACTTTTCAACGCCTCATGCTCAGAACGGCAAAACAAAGAGAAAATTTAGCCCATTAGGAGCAGCAGTTGGAAAAAGTACTAAAAAGCAAAAAGTGATACGTGCGGATGAGAAGCTTTTGATGGAAGCGTGCAAAACTCTTAATAATATCAACTCATCTGCACACAATAACCATTCTCTGCAGCCTGGGCATGAGGCGTTTGGTCGATATATTGTATCCAAATTGGGAGAATTTAATCATGATTCCGAGAGAAATAAGTGTGAAAAAGAAATTGTAGATGTAATAATGAAACATCTAGAGGCTGATTAGACAATAATTTAATTTATTTTATATTACTTAAATAATTATGAACAAATTTTAAATTTATTGTTAATATTTGAGGGCTATGTTTAAATCCTATTTATTTTTTCATTCTTGATAATTTATTATTTGAAGTACTTACCTGTTAGTTTTTTTCATTCCATGATAACATTAAATGATTCTTTTTAAATATATGTTAAATATTTTTATGCATTTGTGGTAGATTATATGCCATGTTTATTTTTTTTTTCCTAATTTGTTTCGTGAATAAATATTTCTAGTGTTTAAAATGTGTGTCATCATTAATAAAAGTGGTTTTACGTAAAACAAATAAGTTTTTATACATGTTTTATTAAACATTAATTATACATTATCCTTATTTAAAAATAAAAAAGCAAAAAATTTTTCAATGATGACAAATGATAAATGGCATATAAAATAAAGTTTAAATAAAATACACCTCAAATTAAATACAAATAAAATACGCATTAAATTAATAGAAAAAAAATATACATCAAGTGTAACTCATATTGGCGTTTTTATGAAATACAGATCAATTTTAAGTTGTAAGCAGTGTAATTATGCTATACATTTCATGCATAGCATGACTCTCATGACTTGACAGTTAATTATTGTGCTTTTCCAATTATGTGACACTTTTAAAAAACAATTTGCATTGTTTTGTATGCTTATGGTGGAATAACTGTATTATTAGTTGCAAACAAAGATACAGGCGCATACCCATAAAAAATACTTAGTAAAAACATTTACATATGTATTTAGGAAACTACACAATAAAAATAGTTGTACATTCAATAAAATTAAATCTCTTTTAAAAGTGAGCAGAAAATTAAATTAATATGTTAAATATGTAAAATTATTTCTAAAAAATGGGCCTCGTATTTAAGATACAGATGGACTTATTTGTATTTTTGGACTAATTTGTATTTTTGCAAAACAAAATTTTTTTAAAAATATTTAAAACTAAATACTTTACTTTCTGCTCCGCTAAAATTCTATGTTGATAAAACCACTTAAATATTAGCTCAATGTAAATCGCACATAGCTCTTTGCCATGAAACTGCTCCAGGCCCATTAAAATATTCCATGAAATGATTTCGAATGTTTTTAGCTGTTACCATTAGATTGGTTTCGACGGAAGTTTTTGAACAGAGTTTTGTTGCTTCGCCCACTGCTTGGATAATATTGCAGATTTTTCAAATCTTCCCTGTCCAAGCTTGTTGAGGGAGTATACAAATTTTTGCACCTGTATCTCAAAAAATTATGCAGAGCACAGGCTGCCAGCACAATCTTAACGACTTTTATTGGATGCGCCTGTATCTTTGTTTGGAAAACTCGAAAACGAGTGGCTAAAATGCCAAATGCATTTTCTACCACCCTTCGAGCTCTTGATAAGCGGTAATTAAAAACTCTGCGCTCAACACTTAAATATTTTCCAGGATAGGGTTTCATAATGTTTATTTCGAGTGGGAAAGCATCATCTGCAACAATGACGTGTGGAACAAAAACGTTTAGTTCTGGGAGTAATTCCGCTTTAGGAATTTCAAGTTTTCCACTATCTAGGAGTTTTTTTAGTGTACTTTTGTTCCACACGCCACCATCACTGATCCTGCCATTTGTTCCCACGTCAACATAAATAAACATTAGATTTGCATCCACCAATGCCAACAAAACAACGCTAAAAAACTGCTTATAATTCCAGTATGATGAGCCAGAATTTGGAGGAGGTGCAATATTAATATGCTTTCCGTCTAACGCACCAATACAAAGTGGAAAGTTCCAAAGTGTACGAAAATCTGCAGCAATCTTTTTCCACTCGTCTTCACATGTCGGAACTTTCATGTAATCATCCTTTAAAACATCTGTAATAGCCGTGCACACTGTGGGAATTATACCCGATATCGTATTTTGCGCTACACAAGAATTGAAAGCTATTGAAGATTGCGTTTCTCCTGAAAAAAGGAATGTACAATTCAATATAATCTTAAAACAAACAACCAACAAGAAATGTACAAAAGTAGGAACTCTAATGATAGTTAAAACTAAAATAATAGTTGAATTATTTTATAACCTTTGAAAACTTATGACAATTTTTAGCAATTACGAATATATTTTACTGGCTCTTATTTTCACTAAATATTCATTATTTCATTTTTTAATGTAATGTTTTTGATATATTTTTAAGTCTAAACAGTATAAATGTATCAAGCAATAAAAAATTTCCAACAAATAAAATTAAAAAACTCTACCTAACCTTTAACTTACATTGAGGGATTTTCCAGTTTATTAAAACTTAATTATACCCTCAATGAAAAATACTTTTTAAAACAATTACCTCAAAAGAAATATTTTTTTAGGTCTTACCTGTGGTCAAATACCTTAATGTTATCGCTAATCGTTCTGCTGCTGGGATAGCTATACTCATGACAGTACTTTGTTTCACTATAAGGGGCTCAACTTTCTGTAACAAAATTTCAAATATTTCTGTGTCCATTCTGAGGAAACGACGATAGCCTTCTGCATCCTGTAGTAAATAAATAAGAATTATGCCAACCAATAATGCTAGAGTATAAAAAATTCTATTAAATAAAATAAAATAATATATATATATTGCAAAATAAATAAAAACAAAAAACACGAAGAAAATTAAGATGAACAATTAGTTTCATCTATTACACATAAGCTGCAAAGTAAATAGAACTCATAAAATAAGTTAAAAAAAAGGAAAAATACATAAAAATGAAAAAAAGGGGGGAAGAGGAAAATAATAATGAAAAATAAAAAAACAAAAACCCGGAAAAAAGTGATAAAATTTTTTTAAAAATCCGGAAAAAAAAAAAGATATAATCTTTTCATCAGCCCACACGATTATATCCGCAAGAAAGAGTGCTTTCTAATTTTGTAATATATCTCGATACAATAGTGTGAGGAGCACTCAAAAATTTTTTTTAAAAAATACAACAAATAAATAAAATAGAACACAATAAGTAAAAATAACACGTAAAAACAGAAAATAAGAAAAAACAGAATAAAAAATAAACTATAAAGCGAAGAGTGATATCAAATGATCTTGCGGATATAATCGTGTGGGCTGATGAAAAGATTATATCTTTTTTTCCGGATTTTTTAAAAATTTTTTATCCCTTTTTTCCGGGTTTTTGTTTTTTTATTATTTTCCTTTTCCCCCCTTTTCTTCATTTTTATGTATTTTTCCTTTCTTTTTGAACTTTTATATATATATATAACATCTATTGANTATAACTATATATATATAATTTATTATTCATGGTAATCAATCGCTTTTATTTAAAAAGGCTAAGAGAGTTTAAATAAATAATTTCATTAAAGATGCTCTTATGGAGAAAAAAAATAAAATATGTTCTATTAATTTAATTAATTAATTATTCACTTTAAACAACTATACATAACAATTATAAATACAAGAGATAAAACATCGATTTAACTGAAATGGAATAGTTCATATTGAAAATTGTTACTGCCAAGTCAAAATTTGATATTGACAAAAAATAGTTACATTTTTATCTTGCTACATTTATCGCATCAAGCCTGAAATTTAATAAATTATACATTAAACTTTTATTTTATTTAATCTTACTCAAATTTTAAATTAAAATCGTAAATACTTTAAATTCAATTTTTGAACCTAAAAAATTCATAGACTACANTGCAGTTTTTGAACCTAAAAAATGCATAGCCTACAAGTGTTAAAATGATAGCAAATATTCTACGCATTAAATAAAAAAACAAACCTTCTGAAAAAAGAGCTAATTCCTTAAAAATTAAACAATAAGCAAAATTTGTGATAATAGTAAATAAAAAAAAAAACACAAATTCATGAAAATAAAATTAACTTACTTCTAATGCTAATTCCTTCATAAGATTTTCATAACATCCAAGTTGTGTTCTTCTGAGTAGCCATTTTTTTGACCAAAATGTTTTTCGTTCTTTCTTTCTCTTAATTAAACCGTGAATAATTAAAGAAACAATAGCTGCATTTGCTGTTTTATTTTCCATCGTTGATATCAATATTACAGGATTCTGGTATAATTCTGGTAATAACTAATTAAAAA